CCAAGAAATATCCTTAGAATCCTGTTCAATGTAATAAATACCAGTTCATACAACACTATCAATTAATGGGTGGAGTGCTGACCTTTACCTAAAATCTTTAGGCCATGAGATTAATTTGCCTCCATTTTGTGAAGACCACAGATTATTTAGACCACCCCACTCCTTTCATGCATTCCTTCCCAATCAGATTGGAGTAAGATTTAAGAAAAGAGCCCTTCCTTGTCTTTGTCATTAGCTTTCTCTCTTGTCATATGGTAAAAGCCTTGCTCTGCCAATGATCAACTTTCTCTTGAGTCATTTTTTTCTCACTGCATTCTCTTTTGGGATTATGAGTGTAATGTGTACATAAAGCATATAGGTTTTCTGTACAGTGCAGGTTATACAAAAGTTGCTCAATAAATACTGTTATTACTATTCTCAAGTGTTTCACTATCCCCAAATCTCTCTCTCCTGAGTTTCAGGCCTCTTGGGTCCCTCTGGCTACATGTTCCATAGACATTAATTTTATTCAAGCAATTTCTGTTGGAAATCTTGAATACAGTTAATTTCGTTGCTTTTATTTCTATCTGTGATTTTTGGTGGCCTAGGCAAAAATACGACATTCATTAGAAAGAGAAAGCATGCCAGTTTTTTAATGAAGAGACTTTACTCTGGGCATTATAGTCAGAAAGAAATTTCTTACAGTAAGGAATATAGAGTGACAGATAGTGGATCTCAAAATAGTTTACAACAGGTGAAGAAGTGGATCTGCACGAAATATAACTTTGGTAAAAGGATTCTAAGGGGGTTAGGCTAATACATCCCTTTGACGTAACTTGATCTAATTATGGAATATAGATTACCTAGAAGAAGGCAATAGATGCATAGTCCCTTTACTCTCTTCCCTAAATTATACTTTCTTTAAACCAGTCATTCAGCAGAATCTGGATGACAGATGTACTTTGAAGTAACAGACTTTGATGAGGTTTTGGAGTATTATCTTTATTAGCTTTCTATATTGCTGATTAAAAGTTGGTTACTTATATGTGCTTTTGAAACCAGTGAGCAATGGAAGGGTTGATGTTCTATTAGGAAATCATTGACGCCATATAAAGACTCTTAACTAGCATTTTACAGGTATATAAGGTATATATATATGCAGAGATAAACCATAATAGTACCTGTAGGCAAAGCCAACATTTCATCAGAAAGTAGCTTTGTATCCCCCTCCAACCCTTGAACAAGTGTTATCATTGGGATACACAAACTTTTCCCCTGGGATATTTCAGAGGGCAGTAATTTTCCCCAGGTGTACAGTAGCATTTTTAGGTTAACCAGTCAATGTCAACTGTGAAGTGTGACTTGAATAATGTTCCTCTGAAACTTAGCAACTCTCGGAGATTAGAGCATCTCTAATCTACTTTCTCCAGAGGTAGTCTAATTTGTACCTTTTCTTTACACTCTATTAATATTCATACATTTCATAAGTACTATATTGAAAATTTTGAAGGACTTACATTTATGAACTGTATAGAGCTATTGCTTTTTAATGAAGATATTCAAAACCACATGTTTTCGGTGTGGTGGCGTAATAAGCTTATCATTAATAAACATAATTCTGCAAAGTTCTCCAGCTTAAATTGCTCAGTGTAACTACATATTCTTTTCAGTGGGAATTATATTCCTTGCATTTTTCTCACTGCTTCATGTGAACCTCCAAATAAAATTTGAATTTGATCGAAAGAGAGGAATACAAAGGACATGTAGTGTAAGTGTGGCCTGAGATGGGAAGCAGAACAGTCCTCAGTTAACTCAGTGATCTTGTGAATCTTCTTCACTTGTGAATAATGAGCAGTTCTGAGAAGTGACTTTTATCCTTTCACAGAGCTTAAGAAGTAGCAGTTTCTCTTTATTAAGAAACACATATGTACATTACTTATGCTATCCTAGTTTCGCCTTATTTTCTACGTATTTAGCTTTTGTTTAAATGCATAAACAAGTTACTAAGATTACTCTTGGTATTTCATGTAAGAAGTAATAAATTGATTAATTAAAAATTAATTTTACTTTTAAGTATGGTAAAATCATTGAATCTTGAGATGACTAGGTAGGGGATTATTGTACCATTCTCTCTACTCATAGGTGTATTTGAAAATTTTCCTTCAAAATCAAAACTGCCCAGTAGAAAACTGGTTTAAAAAAATTTGTTTTTACAGTAACAGTATATTTATAAGCCATGATTATCAATAAAATCAGGCTTTTCCTTGTCATGTTGGCTGGTGTGGGAAGTTTGTGAATGTTCCTCAATCTGTACAATACTTCCCACCTATCAGAAACTAACAAAGCGGGGCTTCCCTGGTGGCGCAGTGGTTAAGAACCCGCCTGCCAACGCAGGAGACACGGCTTCGAGCCCTGGTCCGGGAAGATCCCACATGCTGCAGAGCAACTAAGCCTGTGCACCACAACTACTGATCCTGCGCTCTAGAGCCCGCGAGCCACAACTACTGAGCCCGTGTGCCACAACTACTGAAGCCCGCCTGCCTAGAGCCCGTGCTCCCAACAAAAGAATCCACCACAATGAGAAGCCCACTCACTGCAACTAGAGCAAAAAGCACGTACGAAGACCCAATGCAGCCAAAAATAAATAGATAAATAAATAAATTTATAAAAAAACTAACAAAGCAATTACAGTCTATTGATTTTTGACTTTATTTTGTATCAGGTAGTATTAGTAAGGTTCTGTATAAACTTTAATACATGCATAACAGTTCTTCTTTACCTTATGGCCTATTTCTCTCCCTTGTTTCTCTTCCTCTAGAGGTATATTGCCACTGGCGAACTGGGGAAAGCCACTGACACGCTAGATTCTACAGGGAAAGTAACAGAAGAAAAACCTTACGGTATGAAGTTCATCTTAGGTAGTCCTTGTTTTTAATATTTAGAGAAAGTTTCTCTGAATTCAGAATTTAAAATAAATCTCATATTCCCAGTGATTTTAATTGTCAGTACATTTCTTTGGGTTAAGAAGGTTGGAAAAATGTATTTGATTGTTTGGTATGTCTGTTAATAAAGATTTATAATAATTACCTCTTTTCCTATGATCAGTTTTTCTTTAATGTGCAGAATTCTTCCAAATAACTCCCTTGCCAAAAACCATTTATAGCTAGGATTTAGGACATTTTTCCTAATGAATGTGAAACAAAGCAGAGAAACTCTCTTGCTAGATTTTACCTGCATCTTGCCATTGTTGTTGTTTTGGTTTTGTTTTTTATAATTATCTCTTAGCTGTTGAAATAAATGTACTAGGTTTAGTACTTTAAAACTGATCATATTTCTATGCTTTTGGAGTATGTAAAAAGATAAGACAAAAGGAAAGCTGTTTCTCTAGCAATAAAGCAGAACTCATTGGGGCCCACCTTAATTTTTCTACCATTCCTTCTTGCACTACTTTAAGGAAGGATAGATAAATGAAATGGTTTCCTAGCAATTCTCATAGTGCTTATGCTATTTATAAAGCAGCAGTTGTGGTTTTTGTACAGTCAGTTCACCCACATTATTGTGTCATCAATTGTGAATTATTTGTAAGCTTCCTGGGTTTCTTTTCTGCCTGGGCTTAATGTTATCTTTTTTTAATGTACCTATAGGCAGTCTAGCATCTGCTTCCCTATGTTTTTGTGTTGAGTGGTCTTAATATATATTACATATTACCCTAGTAGTGAGACCAACCTTCTTGTTCATAATAGCTTCACTTGTCCTGTTAACATTGGCTTAGTATCTTGCATGATTAATCAAGCACCAAAATGAAAAGAAAAATCACTGATTTATTTCGAGTCTTTTAAAAATAGATGTTGAATTAGCCTTGAAATTATTATTATTATGGAATAATAGCAGATGCTCACTTAATGGAAACCCAACTGCAATCTTCAGCCAGAATGCTTTTAAGATTCAGGTGGCCTAGGAGGATGTCAGCGATTTCCAGAGTATCCTACAGTATATGTCGGTACACATATAATTAGAAGAATGGTGAGGAAGTAAAATTGGTGAGACTTGGTTGGATGGGGTAATGACAGAGAGGAGGTTGTTAACCACAACCTAGGTTTCTGGGTTGTAAAACTGGTTACATGATGGTGCAGTTCGTTGAGTAGGTGATATTAGAAGAGGACCAGGGTGATGAAACTACTTAAACATACTCTTCCTTCCTGCCCTTAAGCATTTTGGAATTTTTACAAACTCTACTTTGTATTGTATCATTTATAACCTTATTTACTTACCTTAAAGAAAGCATATTAGTTTGTTAAAATCATCTCATTATAATCTTGAAAAGCAACTTTCTTTAGGCCCTGAAAGGGAGAGCTCCCTATAGTTTATTGAATAGTATTTGTAGTCCCAGAAAATGAGAGCTCAGAGAATTTTGCTGATTGACATGATTTTTCTGTATGATTTCTGTAAATCAGTAAATGTTTGTCATCTGTTTAAGCTCTACAGCAGGGTACCAGGGGGAAGACAAATATAAGACCTACCCTGTTTCCTTAAGGAACTTCTGTCATATAGAGAACTAGGACCTATGTTCTCAACCCTCTTTGAACTAATACGAAGACCTATAACCTATATTTTCTAATGGCTTCTTTATTATCCTGAAATAAAAGTCAGAGTATTCTCCACTACCTACACGTTAAAAAAAAAAAACAATGTTAATACAGTAAGTGGACTATAAAGAAGAGATAAAGGTAATTTATAGTAAAATAGATACATCATTATGTAAATACACAGATATTACTACATGGAAAGTCTTCATGAAGTAGTCATATATATATTATATATAACAGATACTTATACATAAATCACCGTGAATGCCACAAGTCAAATGCGGACTGACAGGAATGTTGTACTGATGACTCAGTGCTGGAAAGTTCAGTATATGTGAGACTGTACAAAACATTCTGCGTTTAAATGGGAACTGGAGTTATGTTCTAGCCTAAGGTCATTATAAACAGACTTTCACCCACATGAACATCTGGCAGACCTCCAGAAGTCATGAAGGGCATAGGACAGTTCTTCACTGTGCTGTACCACTGCACATTGCAGGAAATCCAGCATCCCTGGTCCTTGCCTATTAACTGCTGCTGATGTCGTCACCCTACCCAGTCATTATAACAATCAAAAGTACGGTTCTTAATTAACCTGTTGAGAACAACTGACATCTGGATAAAGTAAGGCAGTATGCAGTAAATGGCAAGTGAATGATCTTAGGTCATTTTATCCTATCTAGACAAATAATATTTTTAGCCATAGAAAATGAGTCTGTAGCTCAGTAGACGCAACGTTCAAACGATATTAATAGGGCCCTTTCTTTTATTCTCTATCCTGACACCTTCTGTTATTTCTGAACAGTGTTTTTCACCATTTATTAAAAATCAATCTTTGTGCTAAGTACCAAACTATCTTAATTGCTATAGTTTTAGAATAAGTCTTGTTATCCGAAAGAGCAAGTTTTCCTACCTTTTCTATTTATTTATTTATTTTTGGCTGCGTTGGGTCTTCGTTGCTGCGCGCAGGCTTTCTCTAGTTGTGGTGAGCGGGGGCTGCTCTTCGTCGCGGTGCGCGGGCTCCTCATTGCGGTGGCTTCTCTTATTGTGGATCACAGGCTCTAGGTGCTTGGGCTTCAGTAGTTGTGGGACACGGGCTCAGTAGCTGTGGCTCGCGGGCTCTAGAGCGCAGGCTCAATAGTTGTGGCGCATGGGCTTAGTTGCTCTGCAGCATGTGGTATCTTCCCGGTCTAGGGCTCGAACCCGTGTCCCCTGCATTGGCAGGTGGATTCTTAACCACTGCGCCCCAGGGAGGCCCTGCTACCTGACTTTTATAGATTTTCTTTTATAGGTTTTTTTATAGCTTTCTTATCAAAGTAAGGAAATGGTTTTCTATTCCTAATTTGCCATTTGTTTTTTTAATCATGAGCAGCCATTGAATTTTATCAATTTTTTTTTTTTGTCTGTTGATTTTCCTCCTTAGTCAAATATTAAACTAGCTTTACATTTCCAGAATAATCCCAGCCTGATCATAATATGCTATCCTTTACATAAATTGTTGGATTTAGTTTGCTAATATTTAGTTTAGAATTTTTGCGTTTTTGTCTATGAGTGAGATTACCCTGTATTTTTCCTTTCTCTTAATGTCCTTGACTGGTTTTGATATCAGGGTTATACCAACCTCATAAAATGGGCTGGGGAGTATTCTCTCTCTCTTTTTTTTATTCTCTGGAAGAATTTATGTGAGATTGGCATTATTTCTTTTTCTACTGTTTGGTAGAATTTACTGGTAGACATCTGATTCTGGAGTTTTCTTTATTAGGAAGCCTTTTAATCATGGATTAGATTCCTTTACTAGCTATCAAACTTAATATTTTTTATTTCTTGTGTCATTCTAGATAATTTTTCCCCTAGGAATTTGTCCATTGCATCTCAAATTTCCAAGTTATTGGTATAAAGTTGTTCATTGTATTCCTTTAAGATTTTTCTTTTTATTTTGAAATAATATCAAACTTAGATAAAAGTTGCAAAAATAAAGCCATATTTTTATAGATTTCAATGTACAGGTCTTTCACTTCTTTTGTATATGAAATCTCTAAGTACTTCGTTTTTTTAACGGTATTATAAATTGGACTTTTTAAATATCAATTTCTGATAGTTCATTGCTAGATATACATAGATGGAGATGACTTTTGTGTATTAATCTTATGCCTTTCAGCCTTGCTGAACTCACTTATTAATTCTAGTCACTTTTGTATAGATTCCTTGTTAGGATGGGTCTAAAGTAGACTTTTTTTTCAGGTCTGCATTAGCCCTACTCCAAAGGCATGGCTTTTCTTGGGTGTCTGTCGAGTGCTTGGGTATTCAGCAAAGTTTCATTATTCTGAGGGGTTGGAATTTGGACATCTTCCAGCCTTGTAAGAGGTTTGGTAGTAGCTCTTTTTTTGACTTTGTTAAGACTCACTGTATATATGCACAGCTTGGAATTTAGCCAGTTTCAGGTGGACCCCTATATACATCACTTTCTCTGTGTAATGCTCTCAAATTCCAGCTGCTGCCGCTTCCCCAAATTCTGATCTTTGCTCAGTGCTTTGTTTGTTATTCCCCTCCCTGCAGTACAGTTCAGAAAGCACCCCCAAGCAAAAGCAAGTGATTGTGGGCCTTACCTTGTTTTTTTCCCCTTCTCTCAGGGATGATAGTCCTTGCTATGTGTTGTCTAATGTTTGAAAACAATTGTTTGCTGTATTTTTTCCAGTTTAACAGCTGCTTTTGGTGACAAGGCTTCTCCAGTAACCATTTAACTCTATCCTGGGTGAATTTTTTTTTTAAGCCTTTATTGAATTTGTTTACAGTATCGCTTCTGTTGTTTATGTTCTGGTTTTTTGGTCATGTGGCATGTGGGATCTCAGTTCCCCGACCAGGGATCGAACCCACACCCCCTGCATTGGGAGGCAAAGTCTCAACCACTGGACTGCCAGGGGAGTCCCTGAATATTGTTTTTAAATCCGTCATCCTGCTTTTATCTCCATAGTTCAGTTAAGTACCAGCTTTCATGTTGGAAGTTCACTGGAAGAGCCAATAAATTTTAAGCAAATAATAACATGTAACATGGTCTTGTATATATTAATTTTATGGGAGTGACTTTTAAAAAAATTAATTTCAAATGAATACTATCACATTGATGATTTATTCATTTGCTAAACAAAGAATAATTACTCAAGTTCTATGGTACTTCTGTCCTACCTATCATCTTCTACTGAAGGTCCTTCTTTTGGCCAGTTATTGGATATACTTGCTTTAGAGATTTTATTCTTGATTTCTTTTTAAATCCTTTGGAGGTAGAGTCTTTATTCTTGTAGGGACAATTATTATTATTTGGATCAGGCTAGTATCATGTTTCAGATATAGCCAACATGCTTCACTACATATTAAAAATATCTGAAATATTATATTTGCTTTTATTGTAAAATAACTTGCTGCATAGGCTTTCTGTCTGGTGATTTGAACATCAAATGAATGATTCCTTGGTGACTTTTTTTTTTTTTTTTTTTCGGTACGCGGGCCTCTCACTGCTGTGGCCTCTCCCGTTGCGGAGCACAGGCTCCGGACGCACAGGCCCAGCGGCCATGGCCCACGGGCCCAGTCGCTCCGCGGCACGTGGGATCCTCCCGGACCGGGGCACGAACCCGCGTCCCCTGCATCGGCAGGCGGACTCTCAACCATTGCGCCACCAGGGAAGCCCCTCCTTGGTGACTTTTAAATGCTCTTTTAACCTGGAGATTCTGTTATTCATCAGCAAATTAAATTCAGCAAGAATGTCTTTAGTACCATCTTAATTGTGTGCATTATATAAAAGGAAAAGCTATCTTTGTCTTTAAGGAGATAAGAATTCCATTGGTGAGGTAATACCTACATATTTATAGTAGGTAACAGTTAAAAATTGTGAATGATTAATTTCAGAACGAACAGCAAAACCATAAATGCCTAGGATGCATGGCAGAAGTAGAATGAGAAAGAGTACATCTTGTCACCTTGTGTGAGGGAATATCAGTAAAAGAGAGCCACTGAAGCAGGACAAAGGAGCACGCATTGGCAGGAATGTCAGTAAAGACACCAGTTTGGCGGAAGTAGAAAGCTGTTTGGTCTTATTTTTAAAATGTGTGGCAGACTAGATTGTGAACTGTAGCAATTTTATCAACAGTGGCATTTCTTTCAGCAATTGCCAGCATGGTGGTAGTGTTGGCTGTCTAGATTTGGAAGTTTTGCATAACTAAGGTGCCACCAGTAATTATGTTTTAATGTTTCAGTAGAGTAAAAAATTTTCATGGAAAAATCCATTCATATCATGAGATACATCTGTTTGAAAAGCAGTTTGAACAGAATAGGCTTTTCAGATCTGTCTTTTTGGAGCTAGGTGTTGGAGAAATTCTTTTGAGCTCTGTAGCTCTCCTCTGAGTCTAGTAGATTCTGGTCTTTTGTTCATGTTTAGCTTGTAAGGATCAAGGTCACACTGAGGTTTACCACTCTCTTGCTGTATTGATATTAATCTGGACATGTCCCATGGTGTCTTTTAACTTTTATTCTGGTGTTCAAACAGTAATTCAAAGCACGTTAGTTAGTTTTTGTTTAATATTGTTCAAATAAAATCAAATGTGACATGTATACACCAGAATAAAAAGTTTAAATAAATTTCCTACAAAGTGAAAAAGAAGACTGTAATTTCTTTCCATTGCTATAACCTAAACAAGTTATAGAATATTTCTGTAACTTAGTTTATTAGTGAATATGAAATATGGATAGTCATCTATCTGTATGTGAAAATCCCAAATATTGAATTTCAGTGTGTTATAGTTTTCAGTTGTTAAAATTATAGAACAGTACTTTAATATTGCATCATTTTGTTTGAAAGAGTATCAAATACAAGCTGAAAAGCTTTATCTGACTAAGACAGATAAAATCTTTGCTATGTATATTTTCTTTTTGCACTGGCTTATTTTTGAGGCAAAAGTCAGACTCCTGACTGCAATTCCAAGAGCAGTGAAGGAAACATAAATACAACTTTACTTGGGGACAAAGTTAATGTGAGTGTGGAAAATGTATACCATACCATACAACAGTTTTGAAATCTATCAGGTAAAATTTTAAATGTTGTTAGTACTTGATAATCTTCAATAACCTATTCAGTTATTTATAATATTTGATGCCTGGAAAACCTTAGAAATGAACTTTACGGGTATTTTTCTACTTACTTTCTGATCACTGCATTTTTGTTTTTGGTCACTGCAGGACCATTCTGATAGCTTTATGCAACATTTTTCTCAGGTCTTCTGAAGGCCATAGTAAGTATGTAGTAAATGCATATAAGATGATTGGATCATTTTTAATGGAGAAAAAAATGAAGCAAAGGAAATTAAATTTAGTCTTAATATTGGACGATATAAGACTTTCCCCCTTTTATCTCATTAGCATGTATTTTATCCATCTCAATAGGGTAGAATTTGACCTGCAAAACGTACATTGTAATAAATGCTTTGTTGGAAAGTTTTCTTTAATTTTCAGAGTTGTCAGTGCTGTAAAAATAGCACGTGTACTTCTGTGGTTGTTTTAGTGTCACTTTTTTGGTTCATTTTTGGCAGATAAAATAACACAGGAAGATATTGAAGGCATTCTACAGAAATTTACTGGGAATATAATGCAAGTACCTCCTCTGTAAGTTCAATTAATGAATTTGAATAAATGTTTAATTTTATTTTCCAGTGGCTAACATCACTTTAATGAAAAAAGAAAAGAGGAGGGGCTTCCTTTTACTATATGGTGAGGCAGGTTTTAAATCTGACAAATGATCAAGTAAGGTGAACCTGATTCAGACAGGGTGCAGAGCTTCTGACACTCTCTAAGAGGTAGTGGGATGTAGTCTCCTCTGTCTCTGGATATTGCCACAGCCTGACATCTGTGCTCTTCCAGGATTTATTGGTTCTTCTGATTCCATCTGTAGACATCAGGGCAGTTCTGGAGAGCAGAGATGTCACTTTTCCCAGAATCGCTGTGAAGGGACCAGTCCAGTCTGGTACAGGCATCAGAGCTGTGATTCAGAGTCCAATTGGCACTTCCTGTCAGGCCCATTCCTTTTGGGCCCAGAATCTTATACTTCACAATTCTCGGCAATAAATGAAACAGATGAGAATTATAACTTATTAAAAGTATAATGATATTGATTTACCATTTAGCCGTATTTTTGTGTATGTTACCATTTCAAGCAAATTGCTTCCTTTTTTTTTTAATGGCTTATAGGATGTGTCAGGATATATTACTAACAGTTCTTTTAGAATTTAGAATATATTTTGTGTTTTTTAAAAATATTAAGTGTTTTCAAGAACACTGAAATATCTATGGAGAAATGTTTCTTCATAATTTTGTCTCAAATGTGAAGACTTAAAAATTGTAGCAGGATCTGAATAAACATTATTTTGGATCATTATTGTTAAGATATAGTAAACATTTATAAGAATCGTTTTAGAATTTTCTTCTCTGTGATTGTTCCAAGGATTTTGTGGTCTAGAAAAATTTAATCACACAAAGATAAGATCTGTTATTTGTTTATTTGCTCTTTGGAAACATTTTGGTAACTTATATGTGAAAATGAATATTATTATAATGGAAATATATTGTTTCAAGGAAATATAGCTGAGATCATTGTGACTGGAGACCCTTAACCCAGAATGAGGACTAGTGAAGACATGAATAGACCATCTCCAGGAAGGTGGTTAAAGAGAAATATTGACAGCATTGCTCACTGAGTGCCAGAATGAGCTGTATTAGCCTCAAAGATATTTAGGAACTCTGTATGTGACACCATTGTGAAGTAGATTAGAAGAAAAAATTAGTTCATTCTTAGAAGGATTTTCAGTCTAAAGGGCTGCTAATCATCCTTTCTTTCCATGCTGTAATCTGGAATTATTCTCTCTTTCTTTCTCAATCTCTCTCTATTCTTCCTCTCTCCTTCTCTTCCTGTCTCCCTCTTGTACCTTGCAAGCTATTCTGCATTAAAGAAAGATGGACAGAGACTTTCAACTTTGATGAAGAGAGGTGAAGTCGTGGAAGCAAAACCTGCCAGGCCAGTTACCGTGTACAGTCTTTCCCTTCAAAAATTCCAGCCACCATTTTTCACATTAGGTAAGATGGAGAAATTTGAGAACATTTGTATTTACATGTGCCTTTATTTTATATTTGGCTACTTTTGTGTAAATTTAATGGATCCCTAGGATATTGGAGATTTTTAAAAATTTGAGTTTAAAGAAGGTTAGAATTTGTTAATACCTTTTTGACAGCACAAATAATGAGAATACCTATAGCTATATGGAGGTTCAGAAATGTCCTAAATAGTCTGAGTTTTTCATATATTATATTATCTTACTATAAAGTTGGAAGTAACATACTTTGGATCTCTATGGGGAAGAATAGGTAAGGAGTACATGTTTTCAAAATTTTGTATTCTGTATTTTATTACCTTATGGATACTTGTTCCCCATTTTGGCTAGTACCTGATAGTTTACACTCAGTTTTTTATTGACATTAATTTGTCCTTTTAAAACGATGCATTTTCAGTTTTTGGACAAGAAATTCTAAGAGTGGAGTGACCCCCCCCCCCTTCTTTGTCACCAATAAATTACTGCTAAAGATCATGAAAATATAGGAGTAATGGGTAAGGCAGAAGTGTATTCCTAGACATGTGGTAAATTTTAACTCAAATTATCAATTTGAAGTTATTTATAATCCATATTTGAAATAAATTTAAAACCCAAAAAGTTTTTTTCTATTCTTTGGAAATTTTATGATCTCCTAGCTAAAGCCCTGAACGTATAAGAGCTGTGGAGAATCAAAAGCTGTAGTTCTGGGGCTTCCCTGGTGGCGCAGTGGTTGAGGGTCCGCCTGCCGATGCAGGGGACACGGGTTCGTGACCCGGTCCGGGAGGATCCCACGTGCCGTGGAGCGGCTGGGCCCGTGAGCCATGGCCGCTGAGCCTGCGCGTCCGGAGCCTGTGCTCTGCAACGGGAGGGGCCACGGCAGTGAGAGGCCCGTGTACCACAAAAAAAAAAAAAAAAAAAAAAAAGCTGTAGTTCTTATTAATCCTCAGGCTCCCTGAAATTGACCCTGCTCCCAATTTCATGGTACATACTGAATGGGATTCCTTGTAGACATAATTTCCCAAAACCTTTTTTCCTGAACTTCATTGCTTTTTTTCCCATTGACATTACTATTTAGTGTGCGTTAAGTTCCTGTAGATTGTGGGTTTTGTACAATTTTCTTAAAAAGTCACTCCTTAAGTTTCCTGATTCTAAAATATTAGGCAAACAATGAAACATACTAAAAAATGTTTCACTCCATTCCATGAAAATGTGGCCTCTGTGTTGGCACAATAGATATTATCTATGAAAGTAAAAAAACCTCAAATTTTTCCAGTTGCATTTGTTCACTGGAATTTGTAGTAGTCCAAATTTGACTCTTTTCACCAAAGTCAAATATAGTACAAGAATGTAGAAATTCCCTCAAATAGCTTTATTTGTATGCTAAGCTAGAAACAGAAAGTAGTCCTTTTGTGTGAAAATACAGTTCTTTTCAGGATGTCTTCTGGATGAATAAAAATAATCCAGAGCCCTGCTCTTAACCAATAAACTTGTATTATACTGCGTTAAGAAGATGTTTAGTTATGCATTCAATTCTGGTACATTGTGTAATTTTAAGTTCTTTCATGATTTTTTGCAGGAATATTTCCAAGAGAACATTTAAATATGCTGAGTTCTCCATGTAGTATATTACCCCAAACATAATTCCTGTCACTGAAAAGGGTTTTTTTGTTTGTTGTATTTTTTGAGTGTACAAATCTGAAAATATTTTAAAAATCTACAGCTCATGATAGCAAGGCTGAGATGTCTAACCATTTAAAGCCTATTAAATGAAAAAGATGTACAAATCTGAAAATAGTTTTTTAAATCTGCAGCTCATAATAGCAAAGCTGAGATTTCTAACTATTTAAAATCTATTAAATGAACAAGGCTGAAGTATTAAAGTGGTATGACTTGCCATGTAATTTAAAATGTGTTCAAGAGTTTCTGCTGTTTGCTTTCTCCACACTCTGACTTTTCAGTCTCACAAACACATATGCTACTGGATGAATAATTTATATTTTAGCGCATAAATGTTTTATCACTCGATTGTTTGCATAGTGCATTTTTACATTTGTTTAGGGGCATCATTTCTATGTAAAGTGGATTTCGTAGGCAGTTAGCAATTTACCATGTCACTGTTAACATTCCAGATGTTGAATGTGGAGGAGGTTTTTATATCAGAAGCTTGGTCAGTGACATTGGCAAAGGTAAGCATAAAGATGAATTATGAATTGTCATTTAGAGAATAATATTCCTTTTTGATGGGAAGAAGGAATTTTCCGTTTTCCATGTCTCTGAGTACTGGCCTTAGGAACTGGATTCTTGCTGCCCTTCCACCTTCGAAGCGTTATAGGTTTATGGAAGACAGTTATCAGCGTAAGCAGCTGCAGTGAAATGCTTGTAATGGGAGAGAGGAGAAAAAGAGGAATAGAAAATGAAGATGTGAATAATGAATCTAAGGACCAACATTTTTTTCAAGTATAACATATTTTAACTCAAAGTAGGGATAAGAAGAAAAGATTAACCCTTCTAAAAGTTATTTTTATCGCTACAAGTCAAGTTTTTTTAAAAGCTGGAAGCCATAGTCTTACAAACAGCCAGGAAGTTGCAGCTCTGGCCCCGCCATTTTCTGGCAGCTGTGACACTGGACAGGTCACATTACCTCATCCGCAAAGTGAGACTAATAGTTACCTCATGGGGGTGTTTCGTGGGTCAAATAAGAAGAGTGTGTGCAACTTCCTTGTAGATTTTAAAGCAGTTTATTAGGGTCAGTTATTAAATGTTATTTTGCTCCTTAATCACTTCTTAATCTCAAGGCTCTTGGCTCTTATATTGGATACTTACAGTTTTACATTTGAGGTGGTTTTGAGAGGTCTGAATCGGGTTCTGTCATTTGCAAAATTATAGCCGATGAAATTCCGAATTACTGGATCATTTATGTTGCTTCAGTATTTGAATGAAATACTGAATCATTTACCTTGTGTTTTCTTTTCACCTTTTGTTGCCATAGAACTGTCTTCCTGTGCCAATGTGCTAGAGCTGACCCGCACCAAACAGGGACCCTTTACACTGGAGGAGCACGCCCTTCCTGAAGACAAATGGACAATTGATGACATTGCACAGTCTCTTGAGCAGTGCTCATCCCTTCTCCCAGCGGAGACGGCACTTAAAAAATCAAAACCTGAGGAGTCTAATGAGCAAGTTTTGAGCTGTGAGTATATAACTCTAAATGAGATAAAGGGAGAAGATGATGTGATTAAGACATTTTAAGTTTGGCTTGGGATTGTCTGCATTTCCTGGTTGACATTTGCATCCTGTGTGCAGAATGACAAGCTGTGTGTGTGCCAAGACAAACGATTCTTTTTTTTTTTTTTGCATGAGGAAAAATGTCCATCATTTATGGTTTCTATGGTGCACAGTTTATCTGCTGTACATTATAAATAGCCTTGCAGTTGTTCAGTTCTTGCTGTACTATCGAATGTTCTTCTAGGATGTTATTATGTGGTTAGATTGGATTCAGGAAAATCAACTTTCTGATTTTGATCTCTCATCAAAGTCTTTTCCTCTGAAAAAGTTGACCACATTTTCTAATCAGAGGAAAAAAAATATGAGCTAAATGTTTCTTTGGTGTGGCAAAGTGAATGTATATTAGTTTCTTTGACTTTATTTTGGCTTCCTCGTGACTCTGGTTATTGAAATTCCTTAACTATGTTTGAAAAAGCCATTATTTAACTCATGTTTTGGAGAGTTTATGATTATTAAGAACATTTCTTTGATAAGGCTGCACTTATCTTGGTAATAGCTGTGTTTGTTTAGATCTTAGAAGCTAATAAACTTCTATTGTAAATATTTGTAGAGGAACCAAATTATTGCTGCTACCACTAATGGAATGTAAATAGAAGACTAAATGTTTAATTAAATTCACCTCTACTCTCCCATTAGCACAGAACAGCTCCTATGGCTTATGTTTTGGCAGCTATGAGATAGTTTCCTGGTAATTTAATCAGTACAGTCGACCACCCTGTACCAATTTACTAAATAACCTAATTTAAAAAAATTAAGCTAAAGAATGCCTTCACTGAAAAACTTCTTTTCTTTATTCTTTAGTACTTGTTCATACATCTTTATAGGGTATTAATCCCTGTGATACTTTGCTTTCAATTTGCTCTTTCAAGTGATGTTTATAGATGCTGAGATTGCTGCCCTGCATTTCCAGTTAATCCCTTCTGCTCTAAATGTTTAAGAACAGTTATTCTCAAACGTTTTCATTCAGGTAGCCTACTGAAAGTTCCCTGTCTCTCTCTACCATAGTTTTGAAAACAGTCACATTCTGAAATAGTAAATTTTATATGTATTGAGTACATCATATTTTTGTTATAGGAAAGCAATATATAATGCAGCATCTGTAGAAATTTTCAAATCCCACTGCATTTATCCAAATAAATAGTTTCAAAAGGAAGACTTGTTAAATTTTTCATCATATAAGAGTTTTTACATTTTTATGGATTGTCTTTCTTTTAAAGGTGGCTGCTTTGCAACCTCTAACTTATAAATTTGAAATATGTAAACAAACGTGATCTTATTTGTGGTTAACCTAATATAAACTCAATATAAAAAGTTATATGCTTTAATAGAACACTTTCAGCGTATTGGCAACATTTTTCAAGTGGAAATGGAAATATTAAAACATTCTTAGTATGACACAGAAAATTATAAGGAAGAGTTCATTATCATAATGCCTTAAATAAAACACCAAACACACAAAGTTGTAAATTGAAGCTCTTACAGTTTTACATATTCGTATCTAGTACCCTGCAGTTTGTGTAACCAAAGGTGGCAGTGGCTGCCTCTTTCTGTTGGAATGGTACAGGTTACAGTATGTCTTCATACACTGCCAGTTAAGGTCCAAGTAGAGGACTATAAAACAACTAGGGCCTCTCTGCTCTATTTCTCAACTTAAAATTTAACATGTATAATTTACTAATGGAGAAGAGTATACATTTTTTGAAAAGACAAGTGACTTTTAAAAATGGTAACCAATCTTTTTCTTTTGTTGAAAACACTGAAGAAAATGTTGCCAAATGGAAAAATTACCGAATCCTCACCATCCTGATACAGTGACTTCAGAACTTTAATTTCGTATTATTTTTTTCCCTTCTTTTATTCACATAATTACAGTCTGAAGACACCTATACTTTTTTATTGACTATTTTTTAAATTTCATATTCTTTTACTATTTGTATTTAGTTTTGACAATGATTATTTTAATCATATTACTTCAGTTTGTTTAAACCATTTCTCTATTGCTGAATACTTAGGTTATTTTCAATTTTATTAGGGTAAGTTCCTGGGAGTGGGATTATTAAATGGAATAATGTGAACAATTTAATTTTCCTTAATGAGTTTGCCTTATTGCTTTCCCAAAGAGTTGTAACATTTTACAGTGTCATCATTTGAGTATGTCAGTTCACTAAAAGTCTACAGCTTCGGGTGGGGGATTTATATGTCGTTGCTCAGTTAGTAAGTTATACGGGTTCAGAGTTGCTCTGATTTGCCTTTGTGTGACTTTTCCACATACTTTGTTCACTTATGTAAATAAATGTCTTAATGGTTTCTTTATACATTTGTGTGAGTTATTTGTGCAGTAAATACTTGTAGAAGCATTTACATGGCCTGTTCTTTCTTATTTTAGTTTCATTTTCCATTTTTACTAACCACATTTGCTAATATTAAGAATTCTTCCCCTTTTAGAGTCACCAGATTTATGAGTATGAATAGTTAATATTTATTGAAAACTAAAGATATTATTCTTAACTTTCATAAGCAGCTGTAACTGATCAAGATTCTCTAAAAAGTTTGACTCATCCATAAACAAATTAGTTTTCTCTTGAGTCTAGTATTTGAATACCAACTGCTTTGTTTTTTTCATTTTAATCAAAATATTAAAGAAATATCTGTGCCTTATATATTTCTAGGCCTAATTCTTTATGTAATAATAAAGTTTGTTTTACTTGTAAGAAAACGTGTTAGAAATTTCTGAAAATGTTTCAACCTGGAACATACAAATGACTTCATTTTGACACTTAGTTTTTTATATTTCTGGAAAATATTGTCTTAAAAGTCATCAAAAGTGGTCATAGAATTATTTTATTTACAGTTTTAAGATCCATGAGCATTAAAATAATATAATTTTTTTCTTTGATAATTCAAAATTATAAAATTTGAATAAGGGCTAAACTCACATTTTCCTATACTGACTAGGTCTTTTCTTCTTAAATACTTGAATTGATACAAGCTACTTGATCCATCATCAGAAATGATTCATTGTACTACATAAGAAAAGAATGCTTCAGTACGTTAAAAGGTCTTCAGTACATTTTATGCCTCTCTGATCAGTTTGAAATTTGTATCAGACTTACAGTGAACATTTAGAGGTTTAACTAGTTCTATTTCAAAAGAAGAAAGTAATTTACCTCATATCATGATGTATATAATAGAAAAATTATAAATCAAAAAGCACTCTAAAATATTGAAACACTTAAATAGGGGAATATGATAAATATAAGCTTTATGGCTTGAAATGATTGTAATGGTCTTGTAATTAAATTGAAATAGAAGACTTGTCTTGAGACTATTTCTTTAAGGTATGTGTGGGCAGCTGTAGCCCGGCCTAATCATTTATTAAATGTCACTTGTTAAACACTTATTACATGGCACTTGAATCAGTAGTGCCTTCATAGTTTCAACTTGAGTTAAAATTCTCTCTTTGAACAGGAATATTGCTGTTCATATTCATCTTGCTGTTTTACATAATCATACCGGTAGGAAAGTTGAAGTCAGAAACTATATTTTGCTCCTCTTATTCGTAACTCTTAAAATATAACATATTAAGATTATTTCCGTCTCTACTAACAGTCAGTTTTTTGATCCAGGCAAATCACTTAATCTTTTTAGGCCTCAGCTTTGTTATATTTAAAACAAAGGAGACAGACTAGTCTATCTCTAAGAACTTTTGCAGAACTAAATTAGGCTGGTGAGTGTAGGTGATTTGTATTTATTCTATTCAGAGCTCGTTCTTTTTAAGCCTGAATTTTCATGTTGTTCATCAGTTTTGGAAAATTCTCATCCCTTATCTCTTTGAATATCACATCTTTTCCATCTAGTGCTTCTGTTAGATTTATGTCTTCTCATTTTATTGTGTCTAATTGCTCTTTCATGTATTCCAGTGCTTTATCTCAGTGCTTCTTCTTGGGGAATTTCCTTGAACCTTTTTCCCAGATATGAATTCATTCTTCTGCTATTTTAATTTACTGTTTACATATGGATTTGTTTCAGCGATTACTGTGTTTTTTTTTTTTTTGCGGCACACGGGCCTCTCACTGTTGTGGCCTCTCCCGCTGCGGAGCACAGGCTCCGGACGCGCAGGCCCAGCGGCCATGGCTCACAGGCCCAGCCGCTCCGCGGCACGTGGGATCCTCCCGGACCAGGGCACGAACCCGCGTCCCCTGCATCGGCAGGCGGACTCCCAACCACTGCACCACCAGGGAAGCCCTACTGTGGTTTTTTAAAGTTTATAGAATATCAACTTTTTTTTTTTCAAAATCCTTCTTTTTGTGTGTGTTGTCTTTCATCAGGGCTTTAGTTTAAATATATATCATATATATATATATATATATATATGATATATATATGTATGTATCAGTAAAAGTTTTATATGTGTGTGTATATAATTTTTACTGATATTTAATATCTATACAGAAAGTTGCACATATCTTAAATGTATCATCTGATAAATTTTTACAAAGCAAACATGTGCAACCAACAACCAAATTAAAAAAAAAAACAAAACAGAACATTACTAGTCCACTAGAGGCCCTCTAGAGGTTCCCCTCCAGTCACTAGCTCCCAGCCCCACCCCACTGCCAAGGGTAACCATATCTAACATTATAGATTGTTAATTTTGTCTGCTTTTGTGCTTTATATAAATAAAGCGTACAGTATATACTCTTTCATGTTCGGCTTCTTTTCCTCAAAATTATGTTAGTGAGGTTCTTCCATGTTGTTGCACACGTTCATAGGCCATTCATTCTCATTATTGTTCAGTATTCCATTGTGTGAATATACCTACATTTGTCCATTTTAGTGAATGATGGGCACTTGATTAGCTTTCAATTTTGAGTATTTTTGGCATTCTATTACATCTTACTCATTATTTCTCACTATTGGCTTGTTAATGTTACCTCTTTAAAATTTTTTCTTACTGTTTTCTGTAGAATTGATGATACATGTCTTTAACTTATCACAGATTACCTTCAAATAGTGCTGTACTACCTCATGTATATTGTAGAAATCTTACAAGAGTGTATTTCCATATCCTCTATCGTTTGTGCTGTTTTCATACTTTTTACTTTTACATATATTATAAACTCTATAATATATTGGGTTTTTTCTGTTGTTGATGATCTTTATTTTTACTTTATTGTTTTAGACCAGGGGTCAGGAAACTTTTTCCTTGTTTTGTGAAAGTAGCCCTTGACAATACACATAAATGAGTAGATGTGGTTATGTTCCAATAAAACTGTATTTACCTTCATGTTGTAGCTTGCTGACCCCTGACTGTCAGTTATCTCCTAAAAAGATTTCTAAAACTTTTATATTTATGTGCATTCTGCTGTTCTTCATTTTTTAATGTAGATCCACATTTCTATCTGGTATCATACTCCTTTCTGAGTAAT